AAATTAATTGGAAACTAGATCATCCTAAAGAATGAGTGGGGAAAAAAATGAATGAGTGGGTCAAAGAACACATCATAGAAACAATTGATATTGACAATAATGAGACAATATACCAAAATTCGTGGGATGTAACCAAAGCAGTATTTAAAGGAAAATTTTTATCTCTAAACTCCTAGATCAATAAAAAAGAAAGAGCAGATCAATGAACTGAGCATGCAACTAAAAAAAACCAAAAAACAAAAAAAAATCCAACAAATTAAAAATCCTAAAGCACCAAAATTGAAATCCTAATCCCAAAACAACAATCTCAGAAGATCTGGTTTTATAATATTCTCTGTATTCTCTGTTCTAAGGTCCCTCCCAGCTCTGACATTCCCTATTCTTTTTTTTCCCATTTAATAGTATTTTATTTTTCCAATTACATGTAAAAATAGTTTTCAACATTCCCTTTTATAAGATTTTGAGTTCCAAATTTTTTTCTCCCTCCCCTCTCTCCTCCCCAGGATGGCATGCAATCTGATATACATGTACATATTAAACATACTTCCACATTAGTCATGTTGTGAAAGAATAATCAGAACAAAAGGGGAAAAGCACCAAAAAAAAAAAAAAAAGGAGAAGAAGAAACAGAGAATAGTATACTTTGATCTGCATTCAGACTCCATAGTTCTTTCTCTGGATGTGGATAGCATTTTCCATCATGAGTCTTTTGGAATTATCTTAGATCATTATATTGCTGAGAAGTTGGTCATCTATCAAAAGTTGGTCATGTGTCAAAGTTGGTCATCACCCAGTGTTGCTGTTACTATGTGCAATGTTCTCATGGTTCTGCTCACTTCACTCAGCATCAGTTTGTGTAAGTTTTTCCAGGTTTTTCTGAAGTCCACCTGCTCATCATTTCTTATAGAACAATAGTATTCCATTACATTCATGTACCACAGCTTGTTCAGCCATTCCCCAATTGATGGACATCTCCTCAAATTCCAATTCTTGGTCATCACAAAAAGAGCTGCTATAAATATTTTTGTACATGTGAGTACTTTTCCCTTTTTTATGATCTCTTTGGGATGCAGACCTAGAAGTGTTATTGCTGGGTCAAAGGGTATGCACAGTTTTATAGCCCTTTGGGCATAGTTCCAAATTACTCTCCAGAATGGTTGGATCAGTTCACAACTCCACCAACAATGCATTATTCGTATCCCAATTTTCCCACATCTTCACCAACATTTATCATTTTTCTGTTTTGTCATATTAGCCCATATGATAGGTGTGAGGTGATACCTCAGAGTTGTTTTGATTTGCGTTTCTCTAATAAATAGAGATTTAGAGCATTTTTTCACATGACTATAGACAGCTTTAATTTCTTCATCTAAAAACTGCCTGTTCATATCCTTTAGCCATTTATCCTTTGGGAAAGTCTTGTATTTTTTTTTTTGCCATTAGAGAGGTTTTTAATTTTTTTTCCTTCAGAGTAATAATAGTTGACATTATATAGCACTCTAAAGCCTGCGAAGTGCACAAATATTATCTCCAGTTTATTGAAACTGAGGAAACTGAGGCTCAGATAGGTTGAGTAACCTGCCCATGATTACACATGTGTCAGAGTCTTTATTATTCTTGGGAGGTTTTTACCCTCTCTGAAAAGTAGAAAACAAGACAGTCTTGGAGTCAGGAGGACCTGAGTTCAAATCTGGCCTCAGACACTTGACACGTACTAGCTGTGTGACCCTGGGCAGGTCACTTAACCCCAATTGCCTCACCAGAAAACAAAAAAAAAAGAAAGAAAATAAGAAACTAGTCAGTAAGATTAGTGAGCTACATGAAGTAGATTGAAGATTAATTCAATCATCCATTAGCAAACATTTATTTGATTCCCTATGTACCAGGCATGGTGCTAGGGCTAGAGATACAAAGACAAAATTGAAAAATTCCTTGCTTTCAAGGACCTTACATTCTTTTTGGGGGGGGGTATATAAATTTATAAGCATATAAAAACTATATAAGATTAAATACAAGGTAATGGGAGGAAACAGAGGCCCCAATAGCTGGGGGAAACGTGTCACATAGAAAATGATACTTGAACTGGCAGCCACCTCCATAGACTACCAAAAGCTGGAGATGGTATGGTACCATTGAAAGAATGCTGGATTCACTTGTCAAGGGTTGGCTTACCGATGTGACATTTGACAAAATTGCTTAATTTTTCTGAACCTCAGTTTCTTCATCTGAACAATAGAGCTTTTTGATTGGATAACATACGAGGTCCCTCCAACCTTTAAACCTATGAACAACCAACCAGCTGAATGCAATCTTTTAGCTAATAAAGCAAAGGAAAACGTTCCCTTTGGACATGAAGTAGAGTAGAACGGAAAGTTACTTCAGATAAATGGTGAGTGGAACAGTTACCAAAGTGTTAGGCAAGTACTGAAGAGACTAAGGAGAGAGAGCTAGACAGAGCTTGGTACAATGCAGAAAGGAAGGGTGTTGGGGGGCACTAAGTTTTTAGGAGGTAGAAGAGCAGTGTGTGGAATATTTTAGTTCATTTTTAATAGGGTACTTGATGTATTTTCAAAGTATTTGGCAACTTCTAGGAGAAAGTATGGTGTAATAGAAAGAAGTTGGACTCAAAATGAAAGTCTCCTTTCTGACACTAGCTAAGTCTCAGTTTCCTCATCTTCAAAATGGTCATAATAATACTTGTAAAGTATTCTACAAAATGGGCAGCTAGGTTGTGCAGGGGACAGAGTGCCAGGCCTGGAGTCAGGAAGACTCACCTTCCCGATTTCAAATCTGGCCTCAGACACCACTAGCTGGGTGACCCAGAATGACTTGTATTCTTATAAATTTGACTCAGTTTATATATTTTAGAAATGAGGCCTTTATCAGACACACTGGCTGTAAAAATTGCTTCCCAGCTTTCTGCTTCCCTTCTAATTTTGTTCGCATTGGCTTGGTGCAAAAAACTTTTAGATTTAATGCAATTAAAATTATTCATTTTGAATTTCATAATGTTGTCAATAAATTCTGTCATAAATTCTTCCCTTCTCCTTAGATCTTACGGGTAAACTATTCCTTGCTCTCCTAATTTGCTTATGGTATCACTCTTTATGTCTAAATCACATACCCATTTTGACTTTATCTTGGTATATGGTGTAAGATGTTGGTCTATGCCTAGCTTCTGCCATACTCTTTTCCAGTTTTCCCAAGAAGTTTTTGTTAAATAGTGAGTTCTTATCCCAGAAGCTAGAGTCTTTGGGTTTATCAAACAGTAGATTACTATAGTCACTGGCTACTGTGCCATTCACTATTCTAAGGCTGCTCCTAGCTCTGCAATTCTCTGTTGTAAGGCCCTCTTTGCTCTAATATTCCCTTTATATGTATATATATCTATATCTATATCTATATATATATATATGGTGGTTTTTGGCACTCATTGGAGATATATATATATACATATTATATACATAGTGTACCTGTTTGTCTCTTCAGAAGAGAGATTAGGTTCACTATAGCACCAAACTGATTTGAGATGTTAAATAAAGATACAGCTGCTGCCATTTTTTTAAATATAGAGTTAACAGAGAATATATACATATATATATATATATTTAGGCAATTGGGGTTAAGTGACTTGCCCAGGGTCACACAGCTCGTAAGTGTCAAGTGTTTGGTCTGAGGCTGGATTTGAACTCAGGTCCTCCTGACTTCAGGGTTGGTGCTCTACCCACTGCAGCACCTAGCTGCCCCTAATATTCCCTTTTCTAAGGCCCCTCCCAGCCCTCCTAGCTCTGACACTGTGGTTTTAAAAAATTATTTTGAACAGTGTGTTAGTAGATGCCTCGTGCTTTTGCACCACCGCTACTTCCTGAGACTAGGACCCCCAAATAGAAGCCTCTCTCGTAACAGCAAAGTTCAGCAAATGCAGCCACCCAGCAGCCTCAGGTGACTGTCTGTGTTACTCCCTGCAGTTCTGCCTGCTTCTAACACCCACCTCACTGCTAACGCAACAATGATCTCCTCTAATTACAACGATCCACGTCCAGGGGTCTGTCCCGGTTGTTTCCTTCCACGTGACTGTAAATCTTAGGGCCACGATTGGAGAGCTGGAAGGACCCTGAGGTGGTCTGGGCCAGCCCTTTCAACAAATCACTTAGCACGAGGACTAGACAGTAACAGGCCTCTCTCTCTGTTTTGCCTCACTTCTTCCAAGTCTTCCCGTATTTCTCAAGTTCTTGCGTCCGATGGCTCAAAGGTCCCAGTTATGACATTCCATATTCTTTGCCCTCTGTTCCCCTAACACATCTGGATAATGGGAAGGTTATCAGACTGGCAGACTGAGTCATTCCTGGTTTTGCCACTTGGTCACCATCTGACCTTCGGCAGTTCCTCTCTTTGGGCCTCAGTTTCCTTATCTGGAAAAAGAGGGTTGGACTAGATATTCTCTAAAGTGCCTTCCACCCCTGACATTGTGTTATTCCAGATGCTCTAACTCTAGAAAAACTCACAGGCTTGGGCCCTCCTAGTTTGATCCTCATAGAAATGAATGAAAAAGTATAAATCAACTGTCAACATTTGAAGGCATAAAGTTGAGACACCTTGGCCATGTTTGCCACCATCTATTACACAGCCCTACACTCCTACCCCTGGGCAGAAACTCAGCAGCCCCAAGGTCTCTCTTTGCTCCCTCCTTTCCCATCCCATCTAGGGTAATATCAGGCATGAGCAAGAGTGATGGGGGCACCTGAGCCAATGTGTGGTTTTGGGGAGGCCTCCTAGAGCACAGAGTGAAGAAGGCCTGAGCTCCTGAGTGTATTTTCCCCTTAGCCCATCCAGACGTGACGAGCAGTGTATGAACGCTAATTGGATAATGGATACTGTTTTCCTTTCCAACGCTTTATTGTGATATTGAAAACAAATTGTTTCCATCTCCCAGAAAGATCACTTGCCTTCCCCCCTGCCCATGCCAGCGTTACAGTGGAGACAGGTGTACAAGGGGAGGCCACTGGCGATGGCACTTGCCAAGGACGAAGCAGAATGAGCGTCCCTTCACCATAGCAGTGGCTGCTGCTCCTTGGCCAGAGGCAGGCAGCAGCCCAGGTGGAAAAGATGGCAGGTGCGTGCTTTGGTAAGGCTGGAAAGAAACAATGGAACAGGAAAAGGCCAAGGACACCAGGGAGAGGAGGCTGTGCGGCCGAAGACTTAGAAACATTTCCTGTGCACGATGGAGGGGCCGGCCTCATCGTATTCCTGCTTGGTGATCCACATTTGCTGGAAGGTGGACAGGGAGGCCAGGATGGATCCCCCAATCCAGACAGAGTATTTGCGTTCAGGGGGAGCAATGATCTGAGGGAAGAGAAGAGATTGTGCGTGTTCATCATCAAGGCCCTTCCTTGGGCTTGTTTGTGTGGACACAACCTGGACATGATTGCTTGGATACCTTCCTGGCATCCTCACTGGGGACATTCCCTCAGTAACAAAAAGCAATGTGGAACACTGGTTGCTATTTGCCACCTTTGGGGCCCTTGGGCACCTCCCACATGCAGGCTTCAGTGCCAACGATTTGGTGAGCAACACAATGTCCCTGGGATGGAGCCTGGAAGCCAGGAAGACCCAGGGTCGGATCCCTCCATGGACACATGCTGGCTGGATCATCCAGGGCACAATAAAGTCAACGCTCTAGGCAGCTTGAGGTGCAAATGTAGGGTGGAGTTTCCTTACTGGGAGTTCCTTTTGCCCAGGGAAACACAGATCCAGCCCTAGCTCTACCCTCAGTAGGCTCAAAGGGCCCTTCCTGCTCTCGGGCCTGTGGCCTCAAAAGCCTTTCCCTCTGTTAAGATCTCTTAGCCACGCTCCCAGCTCTACGACTAAGTAAGGCACGGTGTGACTTTGGACCACTCTCCTAACTTCCCTGAGCCTCAGTTTCCCCCTCTGTAACATAACGGAGCTGAACTGGGTGGTATCTATTGAAGGCCTCTCATTAAGTGCCCCTGCCCTCCCCATGCCCAGTTTCCTGGGAGCCGAACTTCAGTGAGCTGGCTCTCCGGGAGGATCAGAACCCTAGGCTCTGCCCTCCCTCTCTAGCTGCCTTGGGGCAGCCCACCACCACGGCTGTCAGTCCTCCCAAGTGTCAGGCCCTTTCTAGTCAGAGACAAGAATGCCAATGGTCACAGGAAAAGGGGCCAATACAGGAGGTTCTTTCTGGGTGTGTGCTGCTCTAGTTTGCCAAGGAATCCAATCTGCTCTGAAGAGCTGTTGGGAGCTACAGTGCGTCCTGAGCTGCCACAGAGGGGCAGCTTCGGTCCCAGGCTGAGGGGGCAGGGGACTGTCAGCTGCTGCTCCCCTCCCCCCCACACACACCCAGGAGTCTTCAGCTCTGTGCCTTCCCCTGCCCCCACCTCCTCCTACCTTGATCTTCATGGTGCTTGGGGCTAAGGCGGTGATTTCCTTCTGCATCCGATCAGCGATGCCGGGGTACATGGTGGTGCCACCAGACAAGACGTTGTTGGCATAGAGGTCTTTGCGGATGTCGATGTCGCACTTCATGATGGAATTGTAGGTGGTCTCATGGATCCCCGCAGACTCCATGCCTAGGAGAGAGGGGGTGTGGAGGTCAGGGTGACCTGCATTTCCCTCTCATGCTCCCTCCACTTCCCGAGAGAACCGGACCCAATTTCTCCTTTGGGATTTTCTAGGGGACAGGTGCCTATCGGAGCATCAGCCCAGACTTGGCCCTGCCAGGGCCTGAACAGCAGCAGTAACCAACATTTCTGTGTCATTTTAAGGTTTGCCAAGCACTTTACAGACAGCATCGCAAGCCTGTGATGTCGGCATTACGGGAAGTATTTCATTTTATGGCTGAAGAAACAAGCTCAGAGAGGTTAAGAGGTTTGCCCCTTGTCACAAAGCAAGTAAATGTTGCAAGTAGAATTCGAACCCAGGGCTTCTTGACTCCAAGCCTTGGACTCTACACTCTGCCATGTGACTGGTCTGCCAGTGCCCCCCTCAAAAAATGTCTCCCCTGCAAGAGAGGTTCCCTGTAAAAGGGACCCAAGAAGGAGTGAGGAGGGATGGAAGGGACAGAAGGAGACAGAGACAAGGTGCTACATTCTGGCTAGATTGACAAGGACTAAAAGGTACCCCAAGGCCTTTCATTCTACAGAGTCTAAGGCTCCAAAAAGGAAAAGGATATATCCAAGGTCATAAAGATCTGAGATCTCAACCCAAGTCCTCTGACCTGGAACTCAATGTCCTTCCCCCCCTCCCCACCTTGGTAGAGGTAGAAGGAGCCCTGGACTTGGTTGGCTATCTGGGTTTCAGTCCCGGTTCTGACACTTACCCCAGCTGGAATAAATCACCTCAGCCTCAGTCTCCTCATCTATATAATAATGGCATGGAATATTTGTACTACCTCCATCGCAGGATTTCATGAAATGCAAGCTGTTATTTTACATGTTGTGGCTCGGGAAACGCAAGCAGAGAGATGGGCAATGCAGAGGTTCCTGGGTAGGGTGGGAGGATGTGACTGTGCCCACACTGGCAGAATTAAGATGAAGGGTGCCCTCCCGGCTGGAGAACTCACCTATGAAGGAGGGCTGGAAGAGGGTCTCGGGGCAGCGGAACCGCTCATTGCCAATGGTGATAACCTGCCCGTCTGGTAACTCATAGCTCTTCTCCAGAGACGAGGAGGAGGCAGCTGTGGCCATCTCATTCTCGAAGTCCAGGGCTACGTAGCCTAGCTTTTCTTTGATGTCTCTCACGATCTCCCGCTCAGCTGGGTGGGGATGGAGGGGACAAACAGGTGAGAGACGGGAGAGACGAGGGCCCCTGGTTTGCACCTCAATCTATGAGGCTCAACTCCTCTATGCCCCTAGAAAGGAAAGGTCAGTCTTCTGCAATCTGCACTGGGGTCTTTAGGATCCAAGAGGGAAGAATGGGGAATTTGCTGGCAGAGGACCTGGGTTTAAGTACCAACCCCAAGGTTCACTGTGTGATCTTGGACAAATCCCTTTCTCTCCCTGGGCCTCAGTTTCTTCATCTGTCAAATGACCTCTTCCAGCTCTGGGTCTAGCATCTACGCCCTGGTCTTGGTTCACCCCTGCTCCATCAGGCAACTATACTGACTTAGTGACTTGGTCTCAGTTGAATCCCCACAGCTCTGAAAGGCAGGTCCTACAGGGACTGTCATCTCCATTTTTCAGACTCAGAGAGATTGTGTGTCCTGTCCACGTACTAAGTGTTGTGCTCGCCATCTCCCTGGATAGAATGGAAGCTCCTTGAGGGCACAAGAGTGCGTATCCCCAGCACTGAGCACAGTACCTGGCACCTCGTCGTCATTGAATAAGTACTTGTGTATTGCTCAATTATCAGAAAGGGTATTTTAACCTAGGGTCTCCTGCCTGCAAATCCAGCATTCACTCCGTTATGCCAACTTCCTGTCTGACAAAGTCAATTCCTCTGGATGTCTGCCTTCTCCATCCACAAAATGAAGGTGTAGTCAGATGATCACTGAGATTCCTCCCAGCTCTACACGTAGGATTTCACCATAGGCTGGGGGAGACGTGGCGTAAGGGAAGTTAATGAGAAACAAGCTTAGTGGTGGTGGAGTGGGGGGCAGGAGAGACAGAAGGGTAATAACTGTATAAGCTCATTTTCAGTCAGTAGAGCACCTCAGCTGCAGTGAAAGAAAATAAAATAAAATAGGATTCCATTCTAGCCTACATTCCAGGAACAAGGTCTAGAACTTGGCAGAGACAACCTGGTTATCTTCTGGCCTGCTCGGACGATGCCTGATCAAAAGCACTTTACAAAGGCTAGCTTATTATTATTAATAAGTATTGTTATTATAATGATAACTGCAAGGCACAGCAATGCGATGGAGAAGGCTTTGGGTAGCATTTTCTCCAGGGTTGGAGAAGCAAAGTTTAAAATCTGGCCCTGCCATTTATAAGTTATAGCTTTCTGGGTCTCAGTTTCCTCTTGTGTAAAATGAGCGCCATGATAGGTGTCTTCAAGTATCAGAAAGACTGTTGTCTGGGAAAGGGATTAGGTTTGGGATCATATCAGATTTAGGGGTGGAAGATCACCCAGTCCAACCCCCTTATTTTACAAATGAGGAAACTGAGGCCCCCAAAGGGGGAAGTTGCTTGGGCAAGGTCATATACAGAGCAAATGGAAGAAGTGAGATTTGAATCCAGGTTCTCTGACTTCTAACTTAGCCTTCCTTCTAGTTCACCCTGTTCTTGGCTCCAGAAAACAAAAAGAGAGCCAACCTCCCCTCCAGATCTGATGCTATGTAATGGTTCAGTGGTTTCCAGAAGCAGATTCTGGGTCAGTCTCGGGAAAGACCTCCTCCCAATCTGAGCCGTGTAAGATAGTGAGCTCCCTGCAGCTGGAGATGGTCAAGCCAAGGCTTTGGGAACCACTGCAGATGGAGCTGATGCATGGTGAGGGATATGTGGCGGGCAGGACGTCGGTCTTTGCAAGTAGGGGCAGGGGCTTGGTGCTGCGAATGGTGGGTGAGTAGGAGCGTAGGGGCCCATGGAGGTCTCACCGGTGGTGACGAAGGAGTAACCCCGCTCTGTGAGGATCTTCATTAGGTAATCAGTGAGGTCTCGGCCGGCCAGGTCCAAGCGCATGATGGCGTGGGGCAGAGCATAGCCCTCATAAATGGGCACGTTGTGGGTCACACCGTCTCCAGAGTCCAACACTATCCCTGCAGGGCGCAGGGCACACAGACCCTTAGAGTCCCACCTCCACACACACTTGTACTCAGCCCTGATGCCCCAGGCCCCCCCTCCCAGAGGAAGAATCTGATGTGGCCCAGACCCAGGGCAGAGAGGGAGAGAAGGGAGAGCAGAGAGGAGGGGGAAAAGGGCAGAGCCGGGCATCCCGAGGCGCCAGCCGTACTGGAAGAAGCGCTGTCTCTGGTGCTAGCAGAAAAGAATGGGGAGAGGGGAACTTTAGGGTCCAAGGGGCCTGGGGATGTTTGGTGGGGCGGGAACGTCCAGAGCTTTGGAAACAAGGCAGCACGAATGCAGAAGGCTGTATGGCTGGGGTCCGGAGGGTGGGGGAACTAAGGAGCAGAAGAGGGGGTCCAAGAAGGGAGGGCCTGGGGAAAGAAAGCATCGAAGACGGAGTGGAGGGACCATTGAGAGTCTTGGGGGTGGAGAAGCCGAAGGTCCTGGGGATGGGGACTATTGAAGAGGGGTTGGGGGTGGGGCTCGGGAAGGGTCCTGGGGATGGGGACTATTGAAGAGGGGTTGGGGGTGGGGCTCCGGAGGGAGGGGGGTGGGGCTCGGAAGGGAGGGGGGTGGGGCTCGGGAAGGGTACGGGGGAGGGGGGCGGTGGAGGAGGGGCTTGGGGAGCAGTCCGGGGGGGGTTGACGACGCAGGAGGACTGAGGAGGGTTCCGGGGGCCAGGAGGACAGCGGTGGGGCATCCCCAGGATCCGAGCTCACCAGTGGTGCGGCCGGAGGCGTAGAGGGAGAGCACAGCCTGGATGGCCACGTACATAGCCGGCACGTTGAAGGTCTCAAACATAATCTGGGTCATTTTCTCGCGGTTGGCCTTGGGGTTGAGGGGGGCCTCGGTGAGCAGCGTGGGGTGCTCCTCGGGGGCCACTCGCAGCTCATTGTAGAAAGTGTGGTGCCAGATCTTTTCCATGTCGTCCCAGTTGGTGATGATGCCATGCTCAATGGGGTACTTCAGAGTCAAGATGCCCCTCTTGCTCTGTGCCTCGTCCCCGACGTACGCATCCTTCTGGCCCATACCTACCATGACGCCCTGGAGACCCGGGAAACAGCCAAGCGTCGGAGGACGCCCAGACAGGGAGACACGGGGAGGAGGACGATGGCCCTAGGTCCCAGCCCCAGCCCTGCCCTGGCTCGGGCTTTGGGGAGACAGCAAGCACCCCCTTCGCGGCTGTCAAGGTGTAGGTTGGGAGGGGTGTGAAGGGCGGGGGGAGTTACACACCAGAACGCTCCCTTTTCAAGTTTTAAAAAGTGCTTTGTTCCCTGGGTCCAGACGCTATCAGGTCATCAGTGCAAATATTATCCCCCTTTTACAGACGAGGAAACTGAGGCTCAGAGAAGGGGGCGACGTATTCACCTAATCTCCGGGCGGAAAGGAGCTCCCAGGCCATCCGGTTTAACCCGCGCCTGACCAAGAATCTCCTCCAACCCCCAGCCTCTGCTCACGTCTCTCCGCCAGTAACAGGGAACCCCCTTCCGCGGCAACTTGTTGTCCCCTCAAACATCTCTCAGGTTGGGAAGGGTTTTCCCCACGGCCCCGCCCCCCTCTACTCCAAGTCCAGGCTTCTGGTCCCTCCTCCAGGGGCCAAGCGGAACACGTCTAATCCATCCTTTCCTTAACTGTCTTTCGAATACAAGGCAGACTAGATTTGGAGCTGGAAGGGACCTTTTGTGGGACCATTTAGGACCCCCTCATTTTACTTATGAGGAAACCGAGACCCAAAGAGGAGGCAAATGACTTATTCAAGGTCACACAGCTGGGCTGCACCAGGCAGAGCCCCTGAGGCTTCCAACTCTCTTCTCCCAGCCTCAACTCGCTAGAGTCAGAAGCGGGGGGGGGGGGGGGGGGGGGGGGGGGGGGGGGGAACCAGAGGGGGAAGACGCTGGGACTGAGCTCCTTCCATCTCACTGCCCAGCCTGGGCTGGGAGGGGCTAGGAGGAAGAGGGGGCGGGAGGGGAGGGGGAGGAGGAGCAGGAAGGGAGGAGGGGGAAGGGGCTGTTCCTGGTGGGAGCAGAGCGCTAGGCTCTCGGTCTCTGTCGTTTCTACCTCTCTCTCTCCCAGACTCCCTCTCTGCATCTCTTCCAACATTTCCCTCTCTCCTACCATCTCTCCCCCCTCGCTTCTCTCAATCCGTCTGCCTGTCTCTTTTGTCTGTCTGACTCTCTGTCTCTTTATCTCTGCCTATTTCTCTGTCTCTGTCTTTTTCTTTCACTGGGACACTTTGTCTCTCTCTTTCTCTGCTTCCCTCTCCTGCCCTCCCTCCTCCCTCGAAGCTCCGTACCTGGTGGCGGGGTCGGCCCACGATGGAGGGGAACACAGCTCGGGGCGCATCGTCCCCGGCGAAGCCGGCCTTCACCAGCCCAGAGCCGTTGTCACAGACCAGCGCGGTGACCTCGTCCTCGTCGCACATGGTGGGGGCGGTTGTGGCTGGGAGAGAAAGGGCTGAGTGAAGGGGGAGGTCTTTGGTGTCTGCCCCCTCCCCGTCTTCCTCCTGGGGCATGGGGGTCCACCTTGGAGCAGCCTGGGTTAACCTTAGCGACGTGAGGGGGCCATGAGCTTAGTTCTTTTCTTCTTTACCCAGAAAACCAGCCTAGTGTTTTTGTTTTTCTTTTAAACTTTCCTGGAGAACAAAGAGATCTCCATCCTCCCAAAACGTAGCCTGAGAATCCCCTTGTCTCTAGCCCCAGCTCCTATGGGCCCCGTCCTTTAACCATCCCAGGGTCGCAGGATCCTAGCGGAGAACTTTGGAGGGTTAGCTGGTTCGCCCAAATTCTGAGGCTGGCTAGTTCTCATTCTACAGGGAATTAAAATTGAAGAGTAGAGAGAGGGGAGGGGCTAGCCCATTGGAATACTGAGAGCAGGGGCCGGTCAGGTTATAAACTCAGGTCTTCAAACCCAGATGAAATCTGGGCTTTTCCCACATTTTCTTTCCTATTCTAGGACCAGGGAAGGGTTTGAGGGAGGGGAGAGGAGGGGCATCTGGCCTGGACTCCTCTCCCATTCCCTGCAAGCTGTAGGCAGCCCCCTCCCACCCTCATCCTGATCAATCCACTTGGAGAAAACTAAAACTTCCCCTTAGAAAGGGAGCTCTTTGCGGGGGGAGGGGCCAGTTATTTGTTACTTTGGGTTCTTTTTTTGGGGCGGGGCATCTCATTGTATATCTAGTGCTTAGCTCAATGCCAGGCACATAGTAAGTGCCAGAAATGCTTATTGACTGTGTCTCCCAAGGCCCCCACTCCATTCAGCTCTGGGATAGACTGGTCCTAAGCCAGGCTGCCTCCTGGGCCCAGCTGTGAAATCTGCTCTCTCCCCCTCCCTCCCTCCTCTGTCTCTGTTTCTGCCTCTCTCTTCCCCTTCCTCCCTCTCCCACTCCCTCTCTCCCTCCCTGTCTCTTTCTCTCCTTTTCTCTTGACTCCTCTCCTCTCCTCTTCTCTTCTTTCTCTCATTCTCTAATTCTCTCTCTCTCTCTCATTGTCTCTGTCTCTCCCTCCTTCTCCTTCTTCCTCCATCCTTCCCTTCCCTTCCCTTCCCTTATCTTCTCTTCTCTCCTCTCTCTCCCTCTCCCCTCCTCTCCTCTCCTCTCCTCTTCTCTTCTCTTCTCTTCTCTTCTCTTCTCTTCTCTTCCCCTCTCTCCTCCTCCCTTCCTCCTTTGCCTACTGACAGCTGTGCACCCTTTCTCAGAGAATCTTAAGGTTGCCAGAATGCTCCAGCCCCCTGGGCTCACATCTAGCCACGATAAGATCTTCCCTGCCCCAAGTCAAACAGCTGGGTCCCCATCTCCTACCCCACCAAAAAAGAAGTCAGTGGAAGGCCAGGCATTGCTAGGTTCTTACCAGCTCCTGCGGGCTCAGAAGTTCTGGGAGAAGAAAACTGGCAGGTGGTCTAGGTCAGGGCTGCCCTGGGGTATTTATACCTGAGTATAGGGGGAGGCGGAGGGACGAGGGCTGGTGGTGCTACATTGGATCTCCTCACCCCTCCCTTGAGGTGGCAGTGTCAAGGGCTCCATATTTGGACAAGGTCCAGAGCAGCTGTCCAGCAGGGACCTTTCATGGGCAACGCAAGGCTGCTAGGGTGGCTATCCCAGTCTCAGCCCCTTGGCTCTGGGCACCTTTCCCTCCTGGGGCTGCTCCTGCTGTCCATGTATGGGTAAGCAGGGTCCTGGTGTGGGAGGGGGCTTATCATGACAATGCCTCCTGGTGAGACTAGCCTTTTTTCCTTGATAGGTACATTCTGTGCTCCCTGACAAGTTTGTAGGGGGCTGTTCTTGGAGCTTTTCTCCTCTTAGGGCCGGAGGGGCCAAGGGGTCAGAGGGAGGGGACATTAAAAGAGAGAGAAGGGGCACACAGGAGGAGGGTTGGCTCAGCAGAGCTCTGGGTGAAGAAGAGAAGGGCCGAGGCTGCTGGAAGGAGACTGGGGTGACTGGGAAGGCCAAACCCCACAGAAGTTCCCTTGTACTCAACTGACCCCAAGAGATACAAGTCCTTCTTCTCCTCAGGCCCCCTCCCCCCACAGCGGGGCCTCCGTGTAAGATGAGAAGGCAGGCACTGGTAGCATCTGCAGGTGCCAAGAAGGCCCTGCTCCTTCCAAAAAAATACCCAGCCTTCTCCCTCCCACCCCACAACCCAGTGCCTGCCTGCAATCTTGCCATTAGACAGTTATTGATGTAGTGGGTGATTAATAATTCCGTTAGCTTCTCTCAAAGGATCACAGGTTCATCGACAGGTCTAGAAGAGGTTTGGACACAGCCCAAGTGCTACCCTGAACACCTAGCCTTTCTCCATGCCTCCCCATTGTTAGCAGTCTCTCCCTCTTGAAATTACTTTTTGTTTTGTTTAGACCTGGGATTTTCATCTGTCTAGGGACCTCCCAGTATGAAAACTCCATCCCCTGATACAGATGGACAACTCACTTGAATTTACATCTGAAATCTGGGGCTCTGAGAGGAGGAGTGATTTGGCCAGAGTTACACTGTGTATAAGAGAGGCGCCCAGGTCATTGCCTCCGAGCCTGTCTCTCCATCCACGCTTTCCCAATGCCCATTGTGCTCCCCCAGGAGAATGTAAGCTCTCTGAGGGCAAGCACTGTGGTCGTTGTTGTCTGCCTCCCTAGCAGCGCCTCAGGGAGTCCTTAACCGAAAGAACTCAGGAGTCTGAGGTCCCCGAGTCCCAACCTTGAGCACTTCTAACCTGAGTGGCCTTGGACAGGTCATTTCCCTTCTCTAGGATTGGGCTAGACAGCCTTGGCGGTGCCTTCTAGCCTGAGATTTGTGATCCCACACAGAGGGGCTGACCTCCCACCAGCTCAGAGACATTTTTTTTAAGGACAGAATGGATGGAGTCTTCAGGACCAGAAGGACAGCTTGAAGCTATTGTGAAAAAAAAAATACAAATTATTACAATCCCCATTCCTAATTTTTAACAACTGGGAGGTAGCTAATACAAGGGTTTTTATCCCCAGGGTACTGATGAGGAAACTGAGGCCTAGGGATGTAAAATTCCTTGCCTGGAGTCACACAGCCAGTGAGAATAGGCTCTTGAATGTGAGACCTATTTTGGGTGGATAGGACAATGGGAGAATACTAGGTACCCCATTTGGGGCTGGGGGGCTCCCCCTTGGCCGGGGCTCCAGACTCCCTGCCTCTCCTCAGACCAGTCCATATGGCCACAGGCTGAAGACTCCCTAATGTCAAGGCAGGAAGTGGTGGGGGAAGGGGATTCCAGGACTCTTGGGGTGACCAGGAAGGGGGAGGGGGACTGCAGCAGCTCCCTGAGTGTTAGCTGCAGAGATACCAGGGGAGGCTGCTCACCTCCAGAAGAGGCTGAGGCCAGCAAAGATTAAAAATACCAAGGAATCAGAGTTGGGGGTTGGGGTGTGTATGTGGATAGGGGTGGGTGAGCTAACGCCCAGCCAGGAATAGCCCAGGGGGCAAATGTGAGCTCCGTCCCTTATGAGGAAGCAACAGACCTCGGTGTGAAAGCACACCAGAGCTGCCCATCTAGGGAGATGCAAGGTCGGGTCAGTGGGGGCAGCCAGCGGAGGAAAGCCTGCGGTAGGGAAGGTGGGAGGGAGGAGGCAAGTGGAGCTGACTTGGGAGGGGCAAGCCATAGGGAGCTCAGGGTCCAGCCCTCCTTTGGCCCAAGGCTCGGAAGGCCAGTCAGCTTGGTGCAGACTGGGGTTGGGGTCGTATCCTACTATGTGCCAGGCACGGTGTCCTACTATGTGCTGGGAATTGTGTCCTACTATGCGCCAGGCACTATGACGTAGTCCCTACTCTCAGGCAGCTCCCATTCTAATGGAGGAAGCAACTAGTAACAATCATGTACAAACACTCCATATTCAGGATAAACCGGAGATAATCTCAGAGGGAAGGCACTCATTGGAATGACTAGAATTAAGGGAGATCAGGAAAAGCTTCCTGTAGAAGGTGGCATTTTAGCTGGGACTTGAATTCAGGAGGCAGAGATGAAGAGGGAGAGGGTACCAGGCATGGGGCCCTGGCAGGGAAAACACCCCGCGTCTGGAGACAGTGGGTCTCGTGCAAGGACCAGCCAGGAGGCTGGTGTCACTGAATCCGAGAGGACTAGGCAGGGAGCAAAGTGTGAGAACACTGGCAAGGCAGGAGTGAGCTAGGGCACAAAGGGCATTGAATGGCAAGCCCAGGATTTTGTATTTGATCCTGGAGGCGATAGGAAGCCCCTGGAGCTTACTGACTGGTGGGGGAGAGATTGTGACATGATCAGACGTGCATCTTAGGAAGATCGCTTTGGCATTTGAGCAGCAGGAGTAGGGACAGGGAGAGACCCAGAGGCAGGCTGAGCCACCAGCCGGTGATTACACTAATCCAGGCGCGACGCGAGGGGACAAGGGCCCGTATCAGAGCAGTGGCAGCATCAGAGGAAAGAAGGGGGTGGATTCCAGAGATGCAGAGGAGGTAAAATTAACAGGCTTTGGCACCATATTGGATATGGAGGGGGACAGCGAGAGGAAGGGGTTGAAATTGAGACCTAGACTTAAGCCTGGGAGACTGGGAAAATGCGGGTCCCCCAGACAGGAATGGGGAAGTCAGAAGAGAGGAGAGCGTGGAGGCAAAGATGAGTTCAGTTTTGGCCATGTTGACTTTTACAATATCTATGGGACAGCCAGTTCTACATGTCCAACAAGCAGTTGGAGGACGGCAGGGAGGTCAGTGTGAATAGGTGTATTTGAGAACCATCCACTTAGAGAGATGATAATTGAATACAGGGGAGCTAATGAGAAGGGTGCCCAGGGACAGAGCCCTGGGACATACCCACAGTTGGTTAGTAGATATGACTTGATCCAACAAAGGAGACAAAAGAAGAGTGGTCAGAGAGGTAGGGGGAGAACAAGATGTGAGAGAGAGAGAGAGTGTGTGTGTGTGTGTGTGTGAGA